GGTTGAATCTATAGATGCAGAAACCATTAATATAGAGAATTGCCTGATTTTTGTTAAGAATTTTGCATTTATATTCATGAGATGCATTAGTTTATAGTTTTTATTTATCTTTGTTGGTGCCAGGGTAATACAGGCTCCATAGAATAAGACAGTTAAATGTTGGCTTCACTTCTATTTTCTGGAAATTAATTCATCAAATTTATATCATTTTGTTTCTAAATGTTTAGTAGAATTGCTCAATGAATTCATCAAGGCCTTGAGTTTATTTTTTTCAGGATGTTTTAAAAAGAGGTGTTCTCCTGCACAAGCTCTCTCTCTTTGCCCCCATCCATGTAAGATGTGACTTGCTCCTCCTTGCCTTCCACCATGATTGTACGGTCTTTCCAGCCATGTGGAATTGTAATTCCATTAAACCCCTTTCTTTTGTAAACTGCCCAGTCTCAGGAATGTCTTTATCAGCAGAGTGAATATGGACCAATACAGACTATTCATATTTAATGTAATTATTGATGCTAGTTCTTAAATCTTCCACTGTATTTGTTGTGTTTTTTTCTTTGTTCTCCATGTTTTTTCTTTTATTCTCTATTTTTTTTTTAACTTTTTTTTTGGTGTTGCTTAAACATTTGTTAGAGTTTTATTTTGGTTTATCTTAGCGTTTTTGAGTGTTTTTCTTTATAGTTCTCTTAGTTGTTGCTCTAGGTATTAGTAAACACACACAGACACTTAAACACACACACACAACTTATGACAGTCTATTTGTGTCAACTACTTATACCAGTTCAAAAAAGTTGTAGAAGTTTTATCTTCCTTAATACCCCTCTCTGGTTCCCAATGTATAATATAATCATTTTAAATATTTTTTCTTCAAACACTTAGAAATTACACAGTATTAGAAACTTTGCTTCAGCTGGCTAGTATAATTTAGAAAACTCAAAAGTAGAAGAACATTTTATAGATATAACATTTTTGCTCTCTTGTTGTTTCTTCCTTCTTGAAACTCCAAGATTCCTGCGTTTATTATGGATTGCTCTTTAAAAAACTGTCTTTAATAATATTTTGGGGGGATGTCTGCTGATGACAAATTCTATTCATTTATCTTCATGTGAGGATGCTTTGGTTTTCCCTCATTTGTAAAGGATAGTTTTGTTAAACACACAATTCTGGACTGAAATTTCTTTTTCTTAGGGAGATCACTCTTGTTTGACTGCCTTTCCCCTGTCCCACCCATATAATGCATTGCTTCTCTCAGACTGCTTTCAAGAAGTTTTCTTTGTCTTTAGTTTTCAGAAGTTTGTCTATATGTGTTTACATGTGAATTTCTTTGGGTTTTCTTATGTGAAATTTACTCAGCTTTTACATATTGAAAACATATGTCTTGCCAGATTTCAAACAAAAAATAGTCGTTTCTGATACATTTTTAAACCCAATTCTTTCTTCTTTTATTCTAAAATTTGATAACATAAATGTTAGATGTTTTGTTGCAGTCTCTCATGTCTTGAAGCTCTATTTACTTTTTATTATATAAAGTTTACTTTCTTTCTCTTTTTCAGATGTGATCATTTCTATTGTTCGATTCTCAGGTTCACTGATTCTTTTTCTGCCCTCTCCATTGTGTTTCTGAGCTCATCCGCTTAGATATTTATTTTGATCATATGTTTTTAATTCTATAAATTTCATTGGAATCTTCTTTAAATTTATTTGCTGTTGCTTTCTATCTTCTTTATTTGGTTCAAGTAATTGCATATTGAAGCATTTTTATATTGCCTTCTTTAAAACCTTTTTAGATAACTTTAATATTTGTACCACGTTGGTGTCTATTGATTGCCTTTTTTCCAAATGTAAATTGTTGATGAATGATTTTTTATTGAAACAGATATTTTTGGAATTATAATAATATTAAAAATACTGATATTAATGTATATTAATATAATAATGTTCTAAATATAATATCTGTAATATTGTATAATTATTTAAATTTTATGTGTTAGTAGTCTTCCTCTGGCATAGCTTTGATAGAGAAACTAGGATGTCATCCTGTTATTGCTAGGTGGTTATGGAAGTACAGGTTCTCTACGGTCATATTTCACTACGATCAACTCATACATCTTCTATGAAAAATTTCCTACCACTCATATTAGCACTTTGCCTATGACATGTCTCAATACCAATCCTAATCTCCAGTATCCCACCTCAATCATAAGAAAAATGTCTGACAAAAGAGTTACTCTGATAGAGTAAATTATAGAGGTTCAAACCCTCTTATTTCTACAATTAGAGGAATTGAACCAACCCTTGAGAATCCAAAATTATCTGTGCTACCCAATATACCACATCCTATGGTAAGGTCAGCTACATAAGCTATTGGATCCATGCTCCCAAAATATTGGTTATACCCTTCCCGTACTAATTATCCCTCTAGTCCAATTTTCACCTAACCTTCTAGGTGATCCAGACAACTATACTTCAGTTAACGCTCTCAACACCCTGCCCCATATTAAACCAGAGTGGTATTTCTTATTTGCCTACGCAATCTAATGATCCATCCCTAACAAATTAGGGAGTGTATTAGCTCTTGCATCCTCCATTCTCATCCTAGCAATTATCCCTATGCTTCACATATCCAAACAGCAAAGCATAACATTCAGACCATTAAGCCAGTGCTTGTTCTGAATCTCAGTGACTAACCTGTTTACACTAACAGGAATCAGGGGCAACCAGTCAAACATTCTCTTATCATCATTGAACGAATAGCATCCATTGTGTACCTCTCTACTATCCTCACCTTTGTGCCTCAAAATACCCTGAGGCTTGACCATCTTTTGACAGCAGTAAGTATGGGAACCCGTGAAGGCCTTGTTTTTCCTGAGTTGGGGTGGAAAATCAGAATCGTCCACTAGGCCTCTGCTAATATCATCCTCACTGGGAGGGTAAGGTGGTGCCTCATTACCACTTTCAGGGGGTCACCACTGATACTATAGCGTAAAGGATGTTTTTAAAAATTTTGACTCTCTACTAGCCCCCTTTTGACAGCACCTCCAAAATGGAAAGAAAAGGCCACCTTATTACTGCTGGATGGTTCTAGAAGTTCAGATTTCCTAGTCTGCACCAGCTGGCATGGCAGATAGAGTGAAGATGTTCCTTAAGACTGGGCAGAAATGCAAGTGCTGACTTCCACATGGTCTTCTGTGACACCACCTCAGCAGAGAGATTACCTCATCACAGCCTAGGGGAGGTGAAATTCCGGGCTCCCCATTCAGCATTTTCTAGCCAGGACCACAGATTGTTTCTTTCTCTTTGTTTTTCTCTGTAGTGTTTGGCTGGAGTAGAGTGGCTATTGTTTAAAAGGTTGTCCGTTTTCCAGTATTTTTGTTAAAGAGAATAAGCTTTTCTTGCTTTTTGATTGCTTGTTTTGGGATATGTTTACCTGTGTCAGTTGATGTTTCTGGGTCATCAGTCTCTTTAATAACCAGCCTGGGATATAGAAAACAAAAAGTAACCTGGGAAACTCATTACCATACCATTTGTTGTGTTCCAAGGTCCCTATCTACTGCCTTTTTTCCCTCATCTTTCAGAATTTTCCTGTGTGTTTTATGTTTTACAACGAGGAAATTTAGTTGTATTTAGAGAGGTGAATACAGAAATGTTTGGCTACTTATGTTCCTTAAACAGAAATCCCTTTTATCTTTATAAACATATTTTATTTGTTTTACATTAAAATAAAGGTGAGTTTCATAGATTGTGTACTTCTGGTTTCTGGCTTCTGCCTTCATTTGTAGTATTATGTGAGGCAAATGCACAAAGAACAAAATTTTCACTTTAACATGACTGATAATACAACTTACGTTTTTGCCCAATACTTTTCAGATGGGATGTAACTAACTCCTATCCCAACTCATTAGATGTATTTAATGCATATATCTCGAGGGTAATTTTCAATATCTACTCCCATTTATTTTACTCTATTAAGTTCCACCTTCCCTGCTACGATAACACTATTAGTTATCATTAGAATAATGATAATTAAAATAAAAGAGGTTCATGTTCAATATTGCTATATTAGGTACCTTCCCTATCTCTCATGACTTCAACTCTTTCTTCCCTGCCTTTTTATCCCATGTAGTACTGAAAGATAACTGTCCGTTTTTACTGGACACTTCTATTAGTTTAATTTCTTCTCTATTCAAAAACATATGTAGCCAATACTCTCTCTAGCTGAACGTATCTTCCATTTTGTCAGATTGTTTCTATCTCGCGACTGGATTGCTTGAATACACTCACATGCCAGTCACAAATTTACCTCTTCAAGATGAAGCTTCTTTTTACTTAAGGTTTTTAAATGCTAGTTTCTGATTTGTAAAATGGGGCTAATTTTAATACCTACTGAGTAAGATTTTTATGATTACTAAATGAAATTACATTTCCTTTAAAACTAAAGGTCGGGCATGGTGGTTCACGCCTGTAATCCCAGCACTTTGGGAGGCTGAGGCAGGTGGATCACCTGAGGCCAGGAGTTTGAGACCAGCCTGACCAACCTAGAAAAACCTCATCTCTACTGAAAATACAAAATTAGCTGGGTGTGGTGGCACATGCCAGTAATCCCAGCTACTCAGGAGGCTGAGGCAGGAGAATCACTTGAACGCGGGAGGCAGAGGTTGCGGTGAGCCAAGATCTTGCCATTGCACTCCAGCCTGGGCAGCAAAAGTGAAGCAAAACTCTGCCCATGCCCCCCTACCCCCACCAAAAAAAAAAAAAAAAAAGAAAAGGAAAAACTATGTCTAGCATGTAAACACTCAAAACATTAGTTATGGTTATTATTTTCAGAAACCCTTTAAATTCTTACTGATTCTTACTTACCTTACCAGGTCATGGAAGATACACTTTTGTTTAAACATAAGAACTCCTTTAGATTATTAATTGTTGCACACATGTGAAAATAGCCTTATACTTTATGTTATAAGAATCACAGGAAAATAATTTTTGAAAGGCACATGATTTTAGTGTTAGCTTGTTATAATTTTATAATCAGTTTATTGAGATGTCTGTCTCAATAGGGTATAAACATGACACGTTTTGCATTTATTCTACTCATTGTTCTTCAATGGGCCATATGTATGCTCTGTCACAGACACTTAAAATTGTCTCGAGTGGATTCCATAACTTTCTTATCAGTCGAATTTAGTGTTGCAATTTTATACTGGATTCAAAGCTTTTCTGTCCTCTGTTGGCATAACATGTGGCTTAGGAGAGAGAGAATGAGAGGAGGATAGTGGTCTGCTTTTCCATTACTCTTTCATCTTCAGCTTCTGGAGGTGGCCCTACAGGATGGAGGTAGGGAAGAACAATAGGGAAGTCAAAGGTTTAATTTGTAAAATTACCATACCGGGTGTGGGGCGGAACCCCTATGTGACTCTGACTTGGTCCTATTTTATCACATTTTATTGCTCTCCATTGATGGAGTGGTCTCCATCAATATGCTGTTCTTTGTGAAAGAATGAACATTTATTTGGGGCACTACTCAACTCCACATCCATTCCATCCATTAATTAAGTCTCTTTCTGCAGAGCTGCATGTGTAGCAGTGTAGGCAGCAGTGGCAGCTGCTGTGTAGCTGTCAGGTGCGAGCCCATGGTTGGCTTCAAGTAAACAAAGTGCAGAGCAGCACCAAGCCCGTCATCTGCCTTGGAACCATTTAAACTGGCACCCAAGATCAGCTGCAAGTACCATTAAAGGGAAATTGCAAGAATTGGGATCTTATATTGATAAAAACTTCCTGATTGCATTATGGTAATGGTATCAAACAAGAAAAGACACAACCAAATGACAGACGATCTGTCCCTATTTCTAGGAAGTAATACAATTTGATTCATCGTATGGCTTCATGGTAAACTACTCCCTGTTACAACAAAACCCTCTAGTCAAAGTCCTCTGATACCAACATCTTTAATAGTAACATGCCTTCAAGCAAGATCTCCCCAAGTTTCACTTGGGGAGATGAAAGAAGGAATGAAGCTGCAGTGCTGCTCCTTGTCATTTATAGCACTAAACCTGAAAAAAAAAAAAGAAAAAAAAAAGAAAAGAAAAAAATCCAGAGTCTTTTAAGTTCACAAAAGTAGAAAACCACTAATGTAAGACATATTGTAAGGTTGGAGCTACAATTTGACTAATGTCAACAATGAAATCATGGAGGAAGCCAGCATCTTCTGAAGATGTGATTGATGATAAGCCAGAACCAGATAATCTCACTGAAGAAGACCTCAATTTTGTGCTGAGGAATCACTTATCTCAAAAAAATAAAATCTATAGTGACATGTACATATGGACCTTCTCACCCTTCTATTGAAATTGACTCAGCATCTTCAAGTTAAAATGCAGACAGAGGTCCATTTAAACAGGTTGTAATTTCAACAACAGCAAAACAATATTCATGCTGCCAAGAGACTTGATACATAGGACAAATACATGAAAAGGAGATGTTAGCCAGAATTGCTTAACAGCTTAGAAAAGACTTGTCCTTTCTTCAGAAACAATGCAGAAAAAAATGAGTGTTAAGGAAGAAAACTTTTAAATAAAGTAACTTCTGGTAAGTTCAGTTGTTAAAGCAAAAAGTATGTATATATAGAATAAGAGGAGAAAGGTGTTGATTATGGTTCCTGGACAAGAAGCATCTCCAACAGAGTGTGAGCTCTAGCAAAGCCTAAAGAGACCTTACCTTCCATCTTCTAAACAAGCTACCAACAATATAGTTTGAATGGCTATGTCTGAAGAATAACAATCTAGAAGCAAAAATAACTACGTTAGTCTGTTTTCATTACTATAACGTAGTGCCTGATACTGGGTTAAAAAAAAAAAAGAAAAAAAAAGGATTATTTTGGTTTATAGTTCTGCAGGCTGTACAGGACACATAATGCCAGCATCTGCTTCTGGTGAGGGCCTCAAGAAGCTTGTAATCATAATGGAAGGCGAAGGGGAAGCTGGCATATCACATAGGAAGTGAGGGGCAGGGGAAATGCCAGGCTCTTTAAACAACCAGCTCTCACATGAACTCATTACTGCAAGTAAGGCACACAACAAAAACAGGTAAGTGTTGGAGAGTTGCAAGTACTGGCCTGCTGGTAGATATGGGCATGAGTGTACTTACCATCATCCCTTTTTACCTTGGAAAGCCTTCCCTAATTGTACATTTCCTGAAAAATGCTTGTTTGTTCACCAAAATTGTAAATACGTTGCAAGGTTGAGCTCTAGCATTTTTGGGACTAAACCAGATGGTCCCTTTACTCATGTGGGGAGAATGACAGTACTGCCTCCAAAACCAGTAGCTATAATGCCAGCGCCACCTTCTAGCGGTCAGCTCTATCACTACTTCCTTGCTTCTAAGGAAACTGAATGTCATTTGTATCATCCAAAACACTGTAGATTTAACATTCAGTGTTCAAAGCCAGGCTGTGCATTCTATCACCCCATTGTTACTGTATTGCCACTGCATACCTTGGAATGAATTCTACCTCAAACCAGCCAATGACATCCAGTCTTACCTGGCAGAAGATCCTGCAGTTTGAAATTTTCCATCTACTCATGAAAGATATTCTATAGAACTTGTCAAATCTTTGAAACTTGTAATATGTTGCTTTCCTAAAATGGAGTTTATTACCTAAGTGAAGTGTCTAATTTTTCAAGTTTATAAGCATATTAAGTGGTTTAACCTTGAGTGTTTGTTTTGTTTTTACCACAAAAAAAGTAGCTTAGGGAAAAGTTAAATTCTATTAAAACATTTGAGACATTTTTATATACTGCTGTTCTAAGTATCATCATTTATAATGTAATATCATTGTTAGTAATGGTACTATAGTTTAGGACCATGTCATTGTTATGTGTAGAGAGATACAGTGAGAGAGGCAAGTGCTACAAACTGAGTATGTTTTATCCAAATGATTGGGACCAGAAGCATTTTTAATTTTGGATTTTTTTAATCTTAAAATATTTGCATTGTATTTACGAGTTAAACATCCCTAACTTGAAAATCTGAAATCCAAAATGTTCCTTTGGGCATGCCATTTGGGAATCACATCAGTTCTCAAAAAGTGTTGGATTTTGGAACATTTCAGAGTTTGGATTTTTGGATTAGAGTTGCTTAATCCATATTATTCTAAAAGTTGAATTGTTGCTTCCAATTTTCCCAAAGATTATATAATGTTCATAATCCTCTGTGAAAACACAAGTGACCAAAAGTGCTGAGGTTGCTTAAAATTGTTATTTAATTCTGCTTTTTAAATTTTAAATGAGTTTAAGTTGAAAAGCATAATAATACCGGTCTCTTGGGTTGACTACCACTTTGGTAAAATGGCTTCCAAGTCCCTCACCTTCTGCAAAAGGTGTCCGTGTAGGATGAAAACAATTGGAATGATAATTACAAAAAATATGATCAATTTTTTAATGTTTTACTATCAAGATATGCTTTTAAAATATATTTTGGGTCAACTACGTCATCACAAAATTTTACAAATTTTTTTTGAAAGTATATACATAAACTATCAGAAAACAGACTTCAAACTCACAAAATTATAAATAAACATGTCTATTCTCACATTCTAATGAATAATGTTCTCAGAAATCACTTTGCAGAAAATATACTTAGTTACTACTGAATATAATTTTTGAAATGTAAAAATTGGATTTAGAAAGTATATTTTAAAAGGCAGAATTATATAATTACAGAGATCATATGGATATACCCCAAAATAGTGTGAAACTTTTGACCTACTGTGTTTATTTCAGGGTTTTATGTGTGTGGTTTTTAAAATTGTGAAGGCAAGAAGTGTCAAAAGCTTTAAAATTAAATAACAAACTGATTATTTATTTCAAAGATATGATGTATAGTAATGTTTTCAAAAATTAAAGCTTGGAAGATGGTTAGAAAAGAGTGAGTGAATGTAAAAGGGATAATAAAGATGCAAACATTCTTAGGACAAAATGAAGCTAATTCTGTTAAAAAAATAAAAAAACTAAAGCCTCTCTCTAGGAGACATCTATGTCTCTCACTGGTCTCATGTCTTCAGTTCTCTCTCCTGGTGAGGCGTGACCTCAGTTAAACCAGTGGCTACCGAGACAGCTCTGTTTTCTGCTTCTTTCTCTTACCATTTTCCATTCCCTCTGAGATTTTTCTTTTGTATTTAGACTCTTTATATAATCTCTTCTCACCTGCTGGGTATATGTCACTCCAATATTCATGGCACTGGAGATTCTGCACTTTCATTAGACAGCTCCTCCTCTTATAGGCATTCTGTATCACAAGTTACTCTCTTGGAAACTTCTCATATGTCCCTTGCTCCACATTTCTTTCTTTCTTTTCTTTTCTTTTTTTTGTTTTTTTTTTTAAAGAAAGGAAAAATATCTTACTCTACCTATTTTGCTTCCTTTAGAATGAATGGTCTTTTATTTTTGTTTTCTCCTACTTTTCACCTTCCATTCCTGTTGCAAAAACAGAAGTAAAATGCGGCTGCGAAGGTGTCTCGGGATTGCAGGACTGGTTCTGACATCTCATAGTAAGCCCTGGGGAGAGGTTTGCAGTGTTATGCGTCTTTAAAATTAGTATGCATTTAACATGGTAACATGCAAAGTCCATTCGTAGCTTGTTAGATGTAGTTTACATGTAATTCTTACCTTTTAGTTTTATATAGAGCCATATGAAATTATAGATACTATATTTGATTTTTAATTAAAAACAACTACAACTTTCTGAGAAAGGATTATTTAATGTAAACAATTTAATTTACCAAGAACTCAGCTAACCTACAGAGCCATAATATAAAGTTTATATTTTTAAAATGATAAACAAGACTTAATCCATGGAACTTGGAGGTATATTTTAGGTTAGTTGTTTAACATCATCTGACAAGTAAAAGTTGAATATCCAGAAATCTTGTTTGTGTCAGATTGGCATGTATCAGGCAGTGTCAAGCAGTGAAGTAATGAGCATATTTCAAAGCAATATATAAATAATGCAGGTTCACTGTCACTGCAGAGGTCTGTGTTTTTTTTTTTTTTTTTTTTTTTATTTCCACAATTAAGAAAAATAGGATTCTGAAGCAGAATAAAGCCCAATTAAAACAAAACATGTTAGAATTGAAGTTAATATTTTTAGAACTTGTTCTCCATTTAATTAATAAGGCCAAATAATAATTGATGGCATGTGTAGCGCTTTGGGATTAAATAAACGACTTTAGGTGTTAGATCTGAGATTTAATCCCAACTCTGTCACTTGCTATCTGATCTTTGGAGAGTCAAAGACTTTTCATTCTTCTATCTATAACAATAAGACAATGTTGTCTACCTTACAATAAGGTTGTAAGAATTACAGGTAATGTGAGTAAGAAACTTAGGTCAGAAAAGCAATTTCTAGCAACTCTTAGTATTGTTACAATTAAAAGGTTAGATTGGTACCACAGAAGAGAGCCACTGAGGGGAAGAGCTGGAGGGCATCTGCTAGCAACTAGAAATGATGGTATAGCCAATGATAGGATGGTATTGGCAATGATAGGATGTTATTGGCAATGATAGGATGGTATTGGCAATGATAGGATTGTAAAGAAATGATAGTATAGGCAATGATTAGGACGTTTAATCTAGTTTCACATCTTATTTGTCTTAATGATCTAGTTTGGCCAAGATGTGAAATAACTAGTGTAAATCACAATTTCATTCTAATAACTAGAGTGTGTTCTTGCTATTTCTCAATGTACAACATTTCTACTATCAGACTATCAAAACATCCATTTTTGCATACTACTTTTATATATACCACTATCATTTAATAATTTTTAAACACATTTTTGAGGCAGTGTGAATGACAGGGATTTGAAAGTGGCAGTGACTAATACATCATCTAAGAACACAGTTGTTGGTTTCATTCCACGTTACTTTGCAAACAGGTGAATTGTGGTTCTTTTCCAGACAATAGCTAATTTCAGGGCATCTTCTTGAGTGAAATCAAGGAGAATAGTCATGTTATTCCGGAATTTTATCAACCACTAGTCTCTAGCCCTCTTGGTGGGTTTAAATAAAACAAATGCCCCATAGAGTGAAATTATTTGGACAGATGTCAGAGTAAACTCAAAGAAAAAAAAACCCAGCCCACTGTGAAGGACTCCTCAATTACTAAAAGAGTGCACAGGAGGTGTGCAGACAAATCCTATTACTGGGTAATGGGATTTATTCGCGTGTCCAGACACCAGTTTGAAAATGTGATTCTGCTCAAGACGTAAGCAGAAGAGTTCTTATATGGGACAAAATTCTGTCTTCGGGAAAGATAGAATATATTTCACTAAAGTCAATCTGATTCTCCCTTTAATAAATTGCTTGAAGGAAAAGAAAGTCTTTGCTGACACAGAAAATGCTGAAGCCTCCTGAGCTTAGTTCTTTGAAGTACAGTCTACAGCAGGGAGTAGGCAAGAGAATAACAGAATTTTGTCAGAGGTAGGCTCCGAAACACTAAGGATTTCTAGCTAAGTGGCATTCCTTATTCTTCCTGAGCAAGGCCTAAAATGTGAATAGTTGAGTATTTTAAAGTGCTACATATTTTGTACCACATAGATAGTAAAATATTTACAAGATGCAAGGGCAAAATCTCTCTACCCCAGGAAAAAAAATACTACAGAATTGAGTATTAACATATTTTTTTCATTGCTCAATTGTTTATCAACAGTTGTTTATCTAAAAATGTCATTAGCTAGAATTATGCTGTATTAAACCAGGGATTGGCAAAGATTTTCTGTGAAGAGCCAGATAGTAAATATTTTAGACCTTGTTGGCATATGGTCTCTATCACTACTGTTTTTCTCTGCTGTGGTAGTGTAAAAGTAGCTGAAAACAGTTCATGAATGAAGGGCTGTGGCTGGATTTGGCCAAAGGGTTGTAGTTTGCTGATTCCTGACACTGGCAAATCAGCATCTTTAACAATTATCACCCATATCTATTATAGTTCCTGGCACATGGTATAGATTAATAAATATGAAAAAACAATATATTTTTTAGTAGTTCATCCTTTCTGTAAAGTAGTCTTTTCTACGCTACCTCTCCTTTTATATGATTCTAGTTGATTAATTCTAAAATAACCTGGACATTCCAAAAAGTTAGCCTCAAAATATGTATTAGACTTAATTTTGTTACATGACTCCTAAAAATAATCATAACCTGAATCTAATTATGAAAGAATATTAGAATAACTCAAAAGGTGAAATCTTCTACAAAAATATCAAGGTCAAGAAAGACAAAGGAAGGCTGAGATAATGTTATAAAATAAAGCTAATGTGACAAATATTATTACCCACTCTGGAGTAGAACTTTGATCAGGAAAAGCAAAAAATTATAGAGGACATTTATTTAAAAAGTAACAAAAATGGAAAAAAAAAGATGTAGTTTAAAAATAGCAATGAATTATGAAATTTCCTGAATGAAGTTATGAAAAGGAATGATCTTGTTCCCAAGTAATACATCTTAAAGTATTTTTGATGGAGGTTGGAGAGCAATGTCTCCATGTTACTCTCAGTGGTTCAGATGAAATAATATACATGCATATAAATTGATAGAGAGAACATGATAAAGTAAATAGGGCAAATCAGGCTAAACAACATACAAGTTTTCTTTATTGAAAAGTTATTTGAAAGTACTGTTGTCTGCTCTCTCTTTCTGCCTAGATTAGATACACATAAATAGGAAACATTGATATTTTCACATATGTTCTAGCTCTTACTAATATCTTCCACTTTGAATAGATAGATGAATGGCTAAAATGGTAACTAACCACTTGATAAAGCAAATGAATAGATTCAATATTTGTATAGGGATTTTAAAATATTACCTGTTTTCCAGTTTTTCTGCTAAGCAAATAATCCTTAAGGAAAAAACAATAACTGAAATTATTGTAACTTTTAAGCCTTGAAATGTTCAACCAAAGAAATTCTTAGTAATTCGTGAATTACCCAATCAGCAGGAAATACTGAAAATACTTCCTTCAGCTATTTATGTAATTAGATTATATTTTGCCTGTAAACTAGATTAACAAGAACAAGAACATACAGTGTTTGTGCAGAATGCTGATCAAGGGCACAACATAGTAATTTAGTTAACCTAGAAAGCAATTTTTCAAATTGAGACTGAAAGGGAAGAGTTTAAGTAGGTGGAGCCTGAAAGAATGTTAACAAATAATGGACCATTCAAAATTCCGGAATGGTCCAGGTAGAAGTTGGTTGGAGAGACAAATTTTTTTTTTGTTTTGTTTTTTTTCTGGATGGATAACTTGCTGGTTAGAAAGAATATCTCTTCTCTGTGCAATTTTAGAAGCACTTTGGGTTCATTCTAAAAGAGCTTTGCTTTTAGGCTGGTTTACTTTTCCTGTTTCTATTTAGTGTTTTTAAATTATTACAGAACAGGGGGGGAAAATGAATAGCCTTTAAAGTTATTCATGCTGGTTTACATGAAATTCTTTTAATTTAGAATATCCAGTGAATAAAGAAAGTCTTGAATTATTTTAAGCTACCTCTGTTTTTAAGAATAAATATGAATCTGGACCAATCACCGAAACTGTGTGTATCACATCTAACTGTTTGTAAAACAAGAAAAATAGAATGAATCTTCATGGACATCAACAGGCTTAATTGAAAAATATCTATGTGGTTGCCTAAAATAATTAATTTGTAAAAAATATTAAAACCTACTCACTATTATTACATATATTTTTAAAATTATGAGCTAACCTGAAGCTTAAGTTTCATTATATGACGTCCTTTCAGCAAACCTGGCAAATACCTCTGGTTATATTTTTATGGAGTCAATACATTTAATTGCTATGAACGTACTGAAATCAACAAATGGCAAAGTTATAAGATTAGTTTTATAGATGAAATAATTATAAAGCAACTGGCGAAACAATTCCCTGAAAATTAAAGTATCCTCAAATTTTGCTTTTTCAGAAATTGTGTTGATATGTTTACTGCTTTGCAGTAATATCAACTATTTCTATCTGAAATTGGCCAACTGACTTCCATAAATTGCCATTTATCTTACTCCAGACCTTGCAACATTTCTTCCTCTACAAACTCTTTTCAAATTATAGATATTGTTATCACAGTGGAAGGTCATTTTAAATCTGTTTGTTGGTTCAAATAATGCTTAAAATCAATAGTATTTCCTGCATATCTCCACACTTGATTCAATGGGTAAAGTTGCTGCAGTCTACAGCGCATAGAATCTTTACTGCTGAAAGTCACCTTTATCAAAAGAAATAGCATTAAAGCCTTATTATTTTTTTTTGTTTTGAAGCTTTACTTTGATTAACTTATAGCATACCAATACCTACTTCTGATTGATGTTGTTTGGGTGTAAAATAAACTGATATAATTATGGATTATAATCTGGTATAAAGAATGTTTTACAGATCTTATTGGATTTTTGATGTATCTTCTTTTTAACCAAGTCAAGTAGCTTGGGGAAATGGAAAACAGTCATCTATTAAATGTCAATCATAGGTAGATTTTTACACACACATACACGTATACTCAAATTACGTATAATTGTTTGTGGGGAACCCTGTTTTCAATTATTCTTGCTTTTTTTCTTCAGCTCCAAAGGCATTTTGATCCCGCCTCTGTAAAACATGGTATTTATAGCACCTGTGGTTTAAATCTGATTTGTCCTTGCTCACCAGTAGCAGCAAGTAGAGAATTACAATGGATATTCTACCTTAATATACTATACCATAATATTTGTTTAAATTTCACATATGTTTTGTCTTGGATCAAAAGGAAAAATAGATATAGAGTGACGTTTTATTATTATAATTGTTTCTATAAATTTATACTCAAGACTCAATGTGTTTGTGTACATATATAGACATTTATACACACATCTATATCTATATTCATATATATGAATTCACATATGTGTGTGTGCGTGTGTATATAATATGTATATATACACATATATATGAATTCAAGAAGTACAGTGCAATTTGTCACCTGGCTACATGGCATAATAGTAAAGTCTAGACTTTTTGGTGTGTATATACTTTAGCTTTTTGGATATAATCACAGCTACTTCTTGTCTCAAAATTCTGAATGATTTTAACAGTTATATTAATTTGATTTTGACTTTTTTTTTAATCTTGGTGCTTTAATAAAAAAAGATCGGCCGGGCGCGGTGGCTCACGCCTGTAATCCCAGCACTTTGGGAGGCCGAGGCGGGCGGATCACAAGGTCAGGAGATCGAGACCACGGTGAAACCCCGTCTCTACTAAAAATACAAAAAATTAGCCGGGCGCGGTTGTGGGCGCCTGTAGTCCCAGCTACTCGGGAGGCTGAGGCAGGAGAATGGCGTGAACCCGGGAGGCGGAGCTTGCAGTGAGCCGAGATCGCGCCACTGCACTCCAGCCTGGGCGACAGAGCGAGACTCCGTCTCAAAAAAAAAAAAAAAAAAAAAAAAAAAAAAAAGATCACCTGATTTTGTAATTATTTGTTTCAAAGTACAACATTTTATTTTTGTGTAATAAAAACAAACATGAGTGATCATGTCTCTCACTACAACCTCACACTCCAGGGCTCAAGTCATCCTCCCACCTCAGCCTCCTGAGTAGCTGGGACCACAGACACATGCCATCACGACCAGCTACTTTTGTGTATTTTGTAGAGACAGGGTTTTTCCATGTTGCCCAGACTGGTCTCAAACTTCTTGGCTCAAGCAATCTACTCACCTCATCCTCTCAAAGTGCTGGGATTACAGGTATGTCACTTCTGTTATTGATATTAGTCATCCAAAAAAGCAGTCAATAAGTAAACCTTATATATATATATATACACACACACACACACATATATATATATAAATATAAGATTTGACATAAAAGCATCTCTAAAATATATAATTAGGTTCAATTTCTACATTTACTCATGACCATTTATGAACAAAAAATTTAAGAGGAAGAATATTTTTTCCATGGCACTAAAATTCTGTGGTGTTGTGCAGTACTTAGGTCCCATTATGAAATCTAAGTTTAAGTGTGTTCTTCACACAGCAGACTATGGTTAGTATGTGGAAATTAAGTTATTATGAAGTTCTGTTAAAGTGCATAAGGACTTGCACATTTGTACATAAATTTGATGCAAACAAAGTGTATAATTATGCATAATTACCACTGACTTTTTAAAAATGATATCAATGGTTGATAGGTTTCATTAACACTTTTTATAAAAATTGCATTATTAGAAGTCAGAATATTGCATCTTTGTTTATGTTCCAGCTATTATCAAAGATTCATCTCAAATGATAGTAAATTAACATGATTTAAACCAAATTGAATAAATGATACTAACATTAAGGATAAATGCTAATTAATAAAGCAGTACATATATATAAGTTCCCTATAGTGCCTTACATATAAAATAAATTGGGGCTTTGCCTCTAACCTAAATTGTTATAAGTGTTAATTTTAAAATAATTAATTATATCATTTTATGTATCATATTGATAACAAATAAGAAATATATAAATGTCAGTACATTTTGGAAAAAATACAAAATGTTAGACATTTGCTGTAAATATAATGGGGTTGTTTTTTTTTTTCAATTTTTTAAAAATTATACTTTAATTTCTGGGATACATGTGCAGAACATGCAGGATTATTCCTTAGGTATACACATGCCATGGTGGCTTGCTTCACCCTTTAACCTGTCATCTACATTAGGTATTTCTCCTGATGCTATCCCTCCCCTAGCTCCCTACTGGTCAACAGGCCCCCGTGTGTGATGTTCCCTTTCCTGTGTCCATGTGTCCTCATTGTCCAACTCCCACTTATGAGTGATAACATGCGGTGTTTGGTTACCTCTTCCTGTGTTAGTTTGCTGAGAATGATGGTTTCCAGATTCATCCATGTCCCTGCAAAGGACATGAACTCTTCCTTTTTCATGGATGCATAGTATTGCATGGTGTATGTGTGCCACATTTTCTTTATCCAGTCTATCGATGGGCATTTGGGTTAGTTCCAAGTCTTTGCTATTGTGAGCAGTACTGCAATAAACATACCTGTGCATGTGTCTTTATAGTAGAATGATTTATAATGCTTTAGGTATATACCCAGTAATGGGATTGATGGTCAAATGGTATTTCTGGTTCTAGATCTGTGAGGAATCACCACACTGTCTTCCACAATGGTTGAACTAATTTGCACTCTCACCAACTATGTAAAAGCATTCCTATTTCTCCACATCCTCTCCAGCATCTGTTGTTTTTTTACTTTTTAATGATCACCATTCTAACTGGCATGAGATGATATCTCATTGTGGTTTTGATTTGCATTTTTCTAATGACCAGCGATAATGAGCTTTTTTTTTTCATGTTTGTTGGCTGCATAAATATCTTCTTTTGAGAAGTATCTGTTCATATTCTTTGTCCACTTTTTAATAGGGTTGTTTGTATTTTTCTTGTAAATTTGTTTAAGTTCCTTGTAGATTCTGGATATTAGACCTTTTCCAGATGGATAAACTGCAAAAATTTTCTCCCATTCTGTAGGTTGCCTGTTCACTCTGATGACAGTGTCTTTCACTGTGCAGAAGCTCTTTAGTTTAGTTAGATACCATTTGTCAATTTTGGCTTTTGTTGCCATTGCTTTTGGTTTTTTAGTCATGAAGTCTTTGCCCATGCCTATGTCCTGAATGGTATGGCCTAGGTTTTCTTCTAGGGTTCTTATGGTTTTATGTCTTATGTTTAAGTCTTTAATCCATCTTGAGTTAATTTTTTTATAAAGTGTAAGGAAGGGGTCCAGTTTCAGTTTTCTGCATATGGCTGACAGTTTTCCCAATACCATTTATTAAATAGGGAATCCTTTCCCCATTGCTTGTTTTTGTTAGGTTTGTCAAAGATCAGATGGTTGTAGATGTGTGGCATTATTTCTGAGACCTCTGTTTTGTTTCATTGGAGGACACATACAAATGGAAAAACATTCCATGCTCATGGATAGGAAGAATCAATATTGTCAAAATAGCCATACTGCCCAAAGTAATTTATAGATTCAATGCTATCTCCATCAAGCTACCATTGACTTTCTTCACAAAATTAGAGAAAACTACTTTAAATTTCATATGGAACCAAAAAAGAGCCCGTATAGCCAACACAATCCT